ATTCACGCAAGTCGCTGGCATAGACTATAACGAAACATTCTCACCCGTAGTTCGATATACGTCGATTCGATTTCTTTTGGCAATGGCAGTACAATTTGATTTGAAAATTACGCAGATGGATGTAGTGACTGCATCTTTGCATGGGAAACTGGATACCGAGATTTTCATGGAACAACCAGAGCTGTTTGATGACGGTTCAAGTCGGTATTGTCGACTTATCAAATCAATATACGGATTAAAGCAGTCCAGCCGCTTGTGGAACGTGGCATTAACAGACGTTATAACGAAGTTTGGACTTAAACGTTCGCATGTCGACCAGTGCATATTTTATTTGATAGCAGACAATAACTTACTAATAGTTGCGATGTACGTTGATGATCTGCTTGTTTTGGCAAATAACTCAGATCAGGAGCGGCGATTAAAAAATGAACTAAAAAAACATTTCAAGATAAAAGATCTCGGCGAGGCGTCATCTATTTTAGGGATTAGAGTCACAACGGATAAATCAAACGAATCCATTACCATCGATCAGTCGCAATATATCAGAGAAATAATTGATCGATTTGGTATGAGCACCGCGAACCCAACAACAACCCCTCTAGACATAAATCAAAAGATAAGTGAAGATATGTGTCCAAAAACTAATGAGGAACGGTATGAAATGCGATCTGTACCATATAGGGAGGCGATTGGTACCTTACAGTTTGCTGCTCAGGTAACACGACCAGATATTAATTATGCCGTTTATTTACTTAGCAGGTATTCTGAGAATCCGGGCAAAGCCCATTGGGTTGCCTTGAAACGTGTTTTTCGGTTTTTGAACGGAACATTAAATAGAGGAATCACATACATGAAGGCATCTACCGACCTGATTGGTTTTAGCGATTCAGACTGGGCAAACGATCTCGACAAACGAAATTCAACCACTGGATATGTATTTCTTATGCAGGGAGGAGCGATTTCTTGGCGTACGAGGAGGCAGCAAACAGTTGCGTTATCTACAACGGAAGCGGAATTTATGGCTATTACCGAAGCCATACAGGAGGCAACATGGTTAAAAGGCCTCAGAGCTGAATTAATTCCAAAAGCATCAGAGACAATCGCAATCTTTTGTGATAATCGGGGGGCGATAGACCTAGCATTAAATAATAACTACTCTCCAAGAACTAAACATATTGATATTAAGACAAAATATATTGTACAATCAGCCAAAGAAAAATATGTAAACATATATCAAGTGCCAACTGATAGCATGCCAGCTGATATTTTAACTAAGCCTGTAACTAAAGCAAAGTTGTTCACCTTTTTAAAGAAATTTGGCATGCACGATTAAAGCATCAACTTTGGTCATTCTGCCACATCCTTTAGAAATTTGAACTAGTAGATATATCATAAAATAATAGTAACGGTATTTAATAAGTTAACTCAGAAAAATTAATTCAGGGAGGATATTGCACTAAATGCAACACCGAGTTGTCGCACTTACTTCACTATGAAT